TGTCATTACACAAGTGACATGAATATATTGTCCTTGTAGATAAATCCTCCTGGGAAGTCCCTCCCTCTCAGACACAGAGCCGCCTGGAAGCCTGGCTCTGTTCCCCTCCTCAGAGGCTACTATGCGTCTACAAGTACATTACATTAGAATATGTACTATTTTTCATCCTCTGCAGCCGTATCACATCCTTAGCCATATTATACCATGTTTATGGATCTGAGACATGCTTTTTTTCAGGCAAAACAGGTCTTGAATTTCTATGTCAGTACAGAAATGGCTAGCTCATTCTTTTTAATCTGTTCATTCCCTTTCCATAGTGTTGGATTTATTCCTTCCAGCAATAATTTAGGTTGCTTCCAGTTTGTCAGCAGTTTAAAATAAAGTTTAAGGTACAATCATGTCAACTGCGTAACAGTAAATATGTTCTTTGTTTTACAATTTTAAAGCCTTCATAATAGTATGCAAATTCTTCGTTCTTAATTTGGATGGGGGAGGAGTAGGCAGAGAGTATTTTAAAAAAAGATCAAAGACAGAAAGTTACAAAATTTGCCAAGGGCCCTGTCAAGGACCAAAAAACAAAATCAGGGGCTCCTGGATGGCTCAGTTGGTTAAGCGTCTGCCTTCGGCTCAGGTCATGGTCCCAGGGTCCTGGGATCGAGTCCCGCATCGGGCTTCTTGCTCATCAGGGAGTCTGCTTCTCTCTCTCTCTCTACCTCTCCCCTCAGCTCATGCACTCTCTCTCAAATAAATAAATAAAATCTTAAAAAAAGAAAAAGAAAAACAAACAAAAAAGCTCTATTCTGAGCAGCCTGAACCACAAGGGCACTCAGGAGTTCAATCAAACTAAGAGGAATTTTAAGAGGAAGCTTTGAAATTTCCTGCATTTCAATAATGCTGTAGAGAAAGAGGTACAGTGTATGAAATTCACATGCAAGGTGAATTCTCTCTGATATGCAACATAAACAAATCTACAGTGGAAAAATCATGGTGAGACAGATAATCTTTACAAAGCCACAGAATCTCGACGCTAAAAAATGCAAAAACGGTCAACTCTAAAACCTTTTTATACAGAAGCAGAGTTTGACCCAGTTGGTTAAGTGACTGGCCCACCACTGGGGGCAAAAGGCACTGAAAGTAGGTTTTCTCATTCCAAGATGAGTAGAATTGTTTTTATTGGCAGTGTTTCTCAAACTTTTCCAGGGAGGTCCCTGAGAGTAATAGATACTGATGCACCCGGGGTGGGGGTCAGAGCTACGGAGTGCTAATGGGTGCTGAGTATTTATGTGGAGACAATCTCTAGGTTAAGAGACATTTCATGTGTTTTGTTTTGTCTTTTTTTTTTTTTTTCATTTATCCTCCATTGCAATTCTGACAGAAAACGGAGACACAGAGAGGAATTGCACAGGTACATTCAAGTCCAGCCCACACCTGAAGTCCCACGGATCTAACCCTTCAAGCTCCTGCATGGGCAGCAACACATCTGCCAATGTCTTGTGTTCTGTCTCCTGAAATGCCTGTGGCATTGCTTGGTGGTCAAGATGGAGCACTTGTGGGACCCCTGGGTGGCTCACGGGTTAAGTGTCTGCCTTCTGCATAGGTCATGATTCCAGCATCCTGCTCCCTGCTTGGCAGGGAACCTGCTTTTCCCTCTTACTCTTCTCCTGTGCTTTTGCTCGCTCTCTCTCAAATAAATAGATAAATAAATAAAATCTTAAAAAAAAAAGTGAGCAGCTGGGCCAGTCGGCCTGAATCACAGATACACCCACCTACCAGGTTCTAGGAAGATTACTTCTTTGAGCCTCAGTCACTCATTCTGTAAAATGGGAACAATAAATAACCTATCTTCTAGGTCTGTTGTGAGAACTGGATTAGGGAATCCAGGGCAAGCACCCAGAGCGGTAAGTAACATACACCAGGCAGTTGATGAGCGTTTAATAGTCTTATCAAATTAATAATAATTTTACTCCACCATAGATCTGTGCTTAATTTTTCTTTCTCCAAAAAGTTTTTCTTAAACTTTCAGTAAGCCTCACCCCAAAAGACGGATGATAGCTTCTTGCACCCATTGCGGACCAACGGGTTGTGTACCCTGTCTCCCCCGTCCCCCTGCACTGTGTGTAAGGTAACCAGGGGAAAGGCCCAGTTACAGGACAAAGTGCACATCCCCTAAAAAGTTGCACCATGCCCTCCAAACGTACTTCTGCTTGGTCTCTAAGCTCCTTTCTCACTACAGTGTCCCTGCCCTTGATGTTCTAGTAATCTTTAGCTTCTTTTTTTTATTTAAGATTTTTATTTATTTATTTGAGAGACAGAGAGTGTGCACACGTGCAAAGGCGGGGAGAGAGGGAGAAGCAGACTCTCCACTGAGCAGGGAGCCCGATGCAGGGCTCCATCCCAGGACCCTGAGATCATGACCTGAGCCGAAGGCAGACACTTAACTGACTGAACCACCCAGGTGCCCCAATCTTTAGCTTCTTATAACTCCTCAAACAAACAGCACATTCTTGAATTTTCACATTTTCCTGCGTGGGCACCACAGCTCAGCCTAGGAGGTATTTTTGTTTGTTTGTTTTGGTCTAATCTGATACCAGGGAAGCTTCTGCTCTTCTTCAAGACCCCGCCTGCACACGGCCCCTTCTCTGGGTGCTACCAAATCACCACCATTGCCCCCGCCCCCTTGCCCAAGCACTGGCTGCTCCTTCCTCCACCAGGACTTCTGCGCCTAGCCTATTGTGGCTTGAACCCACTCTGCCCTGCAATTCTTATGGATTTGCTCTCCCTTTACCAGACTTGAGCTTCCTGAGGGCTGGGACGGGTTTTGTCTTGCCAGAGTCTTGCACGGTACCTAGCAATAAATGTTGGTTGAACAACTTGGGTTAGATTTTACTTAGCAACCATCCCTGGGGCAGTGGCGTTTATTTACCATGACTCTAAAAATTGACCCCGATCACATCTGTTGGTTCTCACTGGAAGGCCATTTTTGGTCATCTTAGGTCTTTGAACAGAAATAGTCAGAACCGTAATATGAAGTAGAATAACTACTGGAACTGGCACCAAGCCCCAGAGGTGCAACAGTAAAAAGAAGTGGCATACATTCTTCTCCACCTCCACATTTCCAGCCCTTCAGGTAAACTCAACCCTTCTCCTGGGGTAGGGGGCTGGAGGGGGGCTCGGTTTGCCCCTCCTCCTCTGCCAAGTCAAGTCTCCTATTTACAGCTGTCCAGTAACTACAGGTTACAAGGCAGGTTCCTTGGCAGGTCCTTGGCCATCTCTCTGGCCTCATCTCCACCCCTCCCTACCTTCACTTGCCCCTCCTGCAGCGCTAAATCTCTTCTGGTTTCTCCACACATACAGGGTAGCATCTTTATCTTTGATCTTCCCTGACAGGGGCACCTGGGTGGTACTGTCAGTTAAGCATCCAATTCTTGGTTTCAGCTCAGGTCGTGATCTCACGGTCCTGGGATTGAGCCCCCCCCCCCCCCCCCCGTCAGGCTCTGCACTCAGCTTGGAGTCTGCTTGAGATTCTCTCTCTCTTCCTCTGCCCCTCCCGCTCGTGCTCTCAAATAAATAAATAGATCTTTAAAAAAAAATGACTGTCCTTGTCTTCTTCACTTTGCTAACTGGTGTACAATTTATAAACAATAAAGCTGACTATTTTGAAAAAGGGTACAGTCCTGCTCACATATGGAGAGCCACATCACTCCCCAAATCACTGCACCCCATGCTTCTGTGCAATCAATCGCGCTCTGTCCACCTCCAACTCCTGGCCACCATTTATCTCTTTTCTGTCCTTATAATTTTGCCTTTTCTAGAATGTATTATAAATGGAATCATACGTTATCTAGGCTTTTCCATCTGGCTTCCTTCACTTGGCATATTGCTTTGGAGATTCACTGATATTGCTGCATGTCTCTGTGGTTTACTCCTTTTTGTTGCTGAATAGTATTCAATTGTATTTCTTTTCCCATTTTTAAGACTCAGTCTAAGAGTAACTTTCTCCGGAAAGTCTTCTCTGATGCAAGGGTTATGTGCGGAGTCTGCCTTCCCACAGCATCCCAGACTCACCCTCATCATACACACAACACATTGTGCACTGACCATTTATTGATGTGTTCCTGGCTAGACTTAATTCTAGGAAGGACAAAGTGTGGTTTTGTTATTCCCACGCTCCCGACACATAGCACAGTGCACAACACCTAGCAGGTCCTCAGATACAAGTATGAATGGCTCTCGTTGGACAGAGACAGCGTTAAATTTGGAATTTGGACGCTCTGAAAAATGAACTCCCACTTGATATGATTGCATGGGATTCTCTCAGGAGCCCTGTGAAGTTGGCACTGATAGAAACACACTTTACAAAGAAGGAAATTAAGGCATGCCTGTTTGAACCTAAAGCCCACTCTAAAATACAGTGTGACAGTGATATTCTTCCACAACTTGTATGCTTTAGGACTAGGAATCTGTGTTTTGAGAGCAAATGCCCATCTCCTTTAGCCTGTTCTCTCGAGCCAGCTGAAAAATAAAGATAGTGTCCTGTTGGCTAAAAGCAAAGCTGTTAGGCTAGGTCAAACAAAATGGTGGTCCAGTGGATTGCTGGCTCTCAAGAACAGGCTGATTTGTTTCAGATGGCTGGAGTTGGCTGGAAAGCTGCAGGCAGCCATCACTGCCTGAACTAAACCGAGGCTGCAGCTGGATGGCACCTGGCCACACAGAGAGGGAAGTAATGGGGGGAAGGGGCAGAAAACAGAAAAAAAGGGCTTTGGCTTAACTGTCACTCAACCGGCTATCTCTCAATTGGGAAGATTAATCTGACAAACCTCCCATCCGAGATCTGTAAATAACTACTATTGATTCCCAGAAGGTGCAGGGCTTGAGGGTCCACACCAAGAGGAAGCAGGACAGGAGATAATTGGTGATGAAGCCTGAGTCCTCCTCTCCCTAATTCCGCATGCAGTCCCTCACTCCCACAAAAGACTAGAAGGGAATTAAATTCAACTCACATGGGCCAGTCGATCAAATCTGGCAAAGAGCTCGTTGAGCATCCGGACCAGCTCCTGGGCGGACAAGGTTGTGGAGAGGTTGGTAAATCCTTTAACATCTGCAAAAAGAATACTAGACAACAGGGGAGGGACAGGGTGGGGAGAAGGCATATTAATATTTTACTCCATCCTGGAAGACATCAACACCATCCAAATAACTCAACCGTGGTCTGAGATTCTAGTTCTCCCTGCCATGAGAGTCAGGAGGAATGTGTCAGTATTTAACAAATATCTCAGCAGACAGAGTCCCCCCAGGAGTTCAGGAAGGGCAAGGGGGCAACAGAAAGCCCTTCTTCCTGTGCAGGGCCATGGAGTGTGGGCAATGCAAACAACCCCAAAGGGAATTTGTCACTATGAACAGATCAATTTGTTGTGGAAAGCAAAATGAAGCTTTACGAATTACCTCTCTGTTTTCACAGTGAACTACAATGAAGATGCTGTGAACATAGTGTGAAATGGACACAGGGGAACAAAGAATAAAAAAAAAAAATCTCATTATCTCCAGCAAATGACATACCTAAAATTGCAGGCAAATAGAGAGTGGCATTTTTCAAAAATTATGGGAATAGGTAGCAGAGCTGGGAGACCTCAGGCAGAATAGTTCATTGCCTAAAACTCTCACACTGACTAAGGATTTAAGTGGGGTCAGGTCTTAGCTCTGCGTATGTTTGGCATAAGTGATGAGGAAAGTAAGGGAAGGGGGTAGTCCTTGAAAGCCATCTGAAAGCAAGGCACTGTATGAGCCTGCCTTAGTTCATCCACCCAGTGAGTATGTGGGGATGCCACTCCACTGTGAAGATGAACAAACTGGGGCTCAGAGAAGCAAGGAGACTTGCCTAACAGTCCCCTCGTAATACGTGGCAGAGTTGGGGTTGTCCACTTAAACTGTAGGGCACTGCCCCCCCACCCACCTCTCCGTACTAGCTCAGGGACCCAGGCAAGAGCAGAGGTCCCTCAGTGTGGAGCAAAAGGAAGCCTCGTGCCCTGTTGGTAGGAATGCAAACTGGTGCAGTCACTGTGGAAAACAGGATGGAGTCCTCAAAAAATTAAATGATCCAGTAATTCCACTACTGGGTATTTATCCAAAGAATATGAAAACATTAATTTGAAAAAATTATTATTTTTGCAGTATTATTTATAATAGCCAAATTATGGAAGCAGCCCAAGTGTCCATCAATTGATGACTGGATAAAGAAGATATGGTGTATATATATGCAATAGAACATTATTCAGCCTTTAAAAAGAGTAAAATCTTGCCATTTGCAATGACATAGATGGAGCTAGAAAGTATAATTCTAAGTGAAACATGTCAGTCAGAGAAAGACCAATACCATATGATCTCACTCATATGTTGAATTTAAGAAACAAACAAACAAAAAATGAGCAAAAGGGGAAAAAGAGAGAGAGACAAACCAAGAAACAGACTCTTAACCATAGAGAACAAACTGGTGGTCACCAGAGGGGAGGTGGGTGGGCGATGGGGGAAATAGGTGATGGGGATTAAGAGTACATTTACTGTGATGAGCCCTGAATCATGTATAGAATTGTTGAATCACTATATTGTATACCTGAAACTAATATAACACTGTGTGTTAACTATATTGGAATTAAAATTAAAAAAAGAAGAAGAACATAAAAAAGAGCAGAGGCACTTTTCATGTTGTATCATCTTTGAAGCTAGGATACCATCTTAGCAGTGTTTCAAACTTTTCGTTTTTATTTTTCTTACTGTTGCATAAAATAATGGCGAGTCTTACAATCAGTGTAACTTAGTTTTAATGTGATAGGTTAATTAGCCAGAAGACATTGTGCAATGTGTGTTGACTTACATTGGTTACTAACCTCAGTATTCAGTGGTTCTTAAATTTGTCTCCGTTATAAACCCTTTTAAGAATCTGACAGAGGCTATGAATTCTCTCTCCTAAAAATGCACAGGTATTCACAATTTTGCACTTCATTTCAAGGAATTTGCACCTTCCCTGAAGCCCATTTATGGACTGATTAGGAATCAGGTCCCGGTTTAAAAAAAAAACAACAACTATTGCTTGAATTAATTATGTAATGCCTTCATTATTTTAGCAAATACCTGTGCATCTACCATGTGTCTAGTTACACATTGCACTAGGAAGTTGGATTAAATGATAAAAAAGATGGAGTGTGTGTCTCAAGATGCTCACAGTGTAGGGACTGAGGTAGGCCAGTCAAGGAGAAAGACAGAAACAACACAGGAGATGAATACAGCAGCCCCCTCCTTATCCAAGGATGGTGGGTGGGGGAGGAGGATCTATTCTAAGACCCCCAGGGGATTCCTGAACCTACAGATAGTACTGAATTCTATAGAGACTATTTTTCCCCCTATACATGCATACCTATGATAGAGCTTAATTTCTTAAAAAAAAAAAAAAGTCTAATTTCTAAATTAGGCACAGCAAGAAATTAACAACAATAGTAATAAAATAGAACAATGATAGCAATATACTGTAAAGTTATGTGAATGTGGTCTCTCTCTGAAAACATCTGTACCCACTGTTCTTGTGATGAGAGATGATAAAATGCCTATGTAATAAGATGAAGCGAGGGGTGAGTGACGGAATGAGACAGGCACTGCACTCCAGTGTGAAGCTACTGTTTATCTTCTGACATTAAGTCAGAGGAGGGTCATCTGCTTCTGGACTGCAGTTAACCGTGGGAAACTGAAACCACGGATAACAGGGGGACCACTGTACTCTGACAGAAGGACACACTGAGGGATGACCAGTCACAGGGGATCAAGAGTTTCCTGATGCAACAAAGTCTCAGCTGAGTTTTGAAGGACCCATGTAACTAGACAGATGGTAAAGTGAGTAGGATGGGCAGTCTGAGCAGAGCAATCGGCACCTCTTAGGGTCTCGTGGAAGTGGGGCAAATGTACCGAAGCTCTGCAAGAATTCAGGGGCAGCTGGTCAGAGGGTAGCACTGAGCAATGGGGTGGGGAAAAGAAGAGGGGAGAGAGAGAGTGTGTGTGAGTTAGAGATGCGGAGCAGGGCAATGTTGGAAATGGGCTGGTAAGCCAGGTTCAAGAATACAGACTTTGTCCTGAAAGTGATGGAAAGCCAGTGAAGGGGTTTAAGCATGTGCCTGATGCCTTTAGATTTCTAGTGTATACGGTTTCCTCTGGGCAAGTCACTACATGGTCACCGTCCTGTACAGCATTCCGATGGTACAGCATCTGCCAAGTGCATAGGACCAAGTGCATAGGATTTGAGTCTAGACAGATCAGAGTTCAGAGCCCAGCTCACCACTTACGAATACCAGGACGTTGGGTAACTTCCTGAACTTCTCTAAGCCTTTGATTTGCGAGCAGGAGATAATTCTAGTATCTGTCTCGTTGGTGGGTAGCAAGTGCTTAGCACAGTGCCTGGCATAGTAAGTGCTCCATAAATGTGTTAGCTCTTTTCATTATTTTACAAAAATGTACTAGAATTGAATGATTGCATTTGAGAGGTAATGAGAGAAGAGAGGTATCAGAGGAGAAAGTAATTAGATCATTCGTTACCTGCAGCTGAAAGAATTCCTAACTGTTGACACAAACGGGAATAAGAAGAGTTACAGCAACATTTACAGAGTATCTCCTGTGGACTGTCCTAAGTCCCACATGTATGAACTCGTTCATTCCTCATAACAATCCATGAGGTGGGACCTACTGTGACCATCTCCATTTTACAGATAAGGAGATGGAGACCTGAGTAACTTGCCCATGGACATGAAAAGCTAGCATCTGAACCAGGCAGCCTGGCTCTGGAATCTGTATTCTTTATCACTCTGGTATGCTATCCCTCAAGTGGTGAACTCCAGGTCAGGTCTCTTGATTCTAGGTATGAACTTGGAATCTTCCATGATAATCATCTTGGAGTGTATTCATTTTAGAATGTACTGAAGAGGCCATGTTAATTTTCAAATCTAATTTGCTTATGTAAGTTGTTTATTTGGCTAAAAATAAGTGTTGTTACCTAATAGTTGTTCTGCAAATGGAGAGACTTGAAGAAAGCTTTAGCACAGTTCTAAAGAATCGTTAGGAACATGGGCCCTGGGTAGACTCTTCTTCCTAACTGTGTGTCCTTGGAAAGTTTATTTAACCTCTCTGAGCTTCCATTTTCTTGATAATAAAGAAGAGATCACTGAAGCAACTCTGTATCATTACCTACAAGTGGGTAACTTTTAAATCACAACATAGTTCTTGATAAGTGGAGGATATGTAACTCCTTGGGGAAATTTCTGGGAGTCAGAGAGTGTTTAATAGATTGCCATGCAGATAGGTCTCAAAAGCCAACAGGTTCTCTGGGCCCACTCAGTTGCATTTTGCTTGTACATGAAACTCTGGTCTACATGGCCAATGTGGTGGCTACCCATGTGGACAGGGCTGACTGGAGAGAACAGCCAGCCCAGAAAGCAGGTAGACTGAGTAAGCCTCTAAAATTAAGGATTTTCTGATCCCTGATGAAGGTTCATTGAACTGTCTAACACCGGGAGAGGTAAAGACAAATCTGCCTCCTGAGTAGATCCAAACAATGTGCACCAGCAAATGTGCCAATGTCCATGGCGTGGGGCTGGGCGAGAGGAAGGGGAAGGGAGCTTTGGAAGAGAAGCGAACCATCCTCCAAATCCATGTTCCCCTGTCACCAGGAAAGGCTGCTGAGCTGGGGATTCTGTTTTCTTCTCGTGTCTGGGTAGGGCCATGGGATCATGGGTCTCATCAGTGGAATCTGAACAGAAGTGATACATGTTATCTCTGGGCCAAGGAGGTGTGCCTTTTCTACCCGTTTCTCCTCCAAGAGCCAAATGCCAAAAACTCTGAGTCCAGGGGAGGACCCAGATATAAAACTCGGGGGCCTTTGTCCCTGAGTCACCCGCCAACCAGGAACATCAGCAGTGGCCAGTTGTGTGAAAAAATGTTATTGAATTTAAATCAATGCATTTGAGAAATGATTTGTTGGAGCAGACAGTATTACTCTGAATAATGTAAGCGTCTTAAAATATATGGGAAAAAAATAGGGGAAATGAATAGAATTGGGCAGGGGGGACTAGAAGCCCAAAAGACTTCCAGTAAAACATCAAGTGGCCAAGTAGGTCTTCAGAGAGAATCCAGGAAAGTCTCAGATGCACAGAGCTGAAATCAACATGAGAATCCAAACTGTCCATTGCAAACAGTGCAGCTTTTAGATTAGGAAAATGAGGCCCCAAAAGATGAAATGATGCAGCCAAAGTCTAGCAGGAGATGTGGCTCAGAGAATGTGTTCTGGAGCGAGAAGCCTAATCCACTGGTTCCCAGTCCCCTGGGCACAGGAAGGGCCGTGTGCACGCCTTACCATACACACTGTACCGATACGTGGATGCCTACGTACACAACAGGAGGCCAAGAACTGTAGGAAATATAATCAAGAGTCAGACATTTACAGCAGACTGTTTTTAGGGAAGGGTCACAAAACAACAGACAATAATATAAGCAACAGAGAAGAAAGAATGAACTAGGTGGGTTGCCCTGAAGAGACAGACACAGGATTGGAAATAATTTAAAAAATGTTCCCTCCACTGCAGTGGGCGTGCTCTAGGGGCTGGGGAACAGGGCAGAGCAGCCGGTCTGGCTTTGTTCTCAGACATGGGCTAAGGACCACCCTCTTCTGCTTTTCTCATCTCTGGTCTTATTTTAGCAACTAGCAACCTTGCAGTGGCTGGAGGGACCCCATCACCCCTCCCAGAATTCCTCTTCCCGATACCAGAGGGAGTGGTGGGCATCCCGCCCCCCCCCCGCCCCCTCCCCCAACCGCCTCTGTGATGGCCAGAGAGGCCCAGTGTGGCAGCAGGGTCTGCAGACTCTTCTGCTAGAACGGCTTCTTTGCTGTGGGCTGAGGCCGTTGAGAAATGCAAGGCAGCAAACCCAATTCTAATTTAGTGCAGTGTGCACTTCTGCAAGAGGGTCTGTCTCAAGCTTAAGAACTCAGTTTAATGGTTTAAAATAAATGGGTGAGGTGGAGAAGGCAGAAGTCACTTTAGTTGTTCTTGACTAAGGGAAGCACTGAAAACTGATGGTGCAGAAAGAAAGCCAAACATGTCATTTATTGAACTTAAGGCTCCCAAGTATGTTGGTGTGGGTGTGCAAGCTTGTTTAGTTTTTCCTTTTTTTTCTTTCTTTATTAAGGGGAATTACTCCTCCCCCACCATCACTTTTTCCATGGTGACAGGCACTTTCATAATATTCTTTTCATATCTACATATCTATATATCTCATATAATAATGATAATCATCAATATCAGAGAATATCATCATATATACATAATATATATGTTATATATTATATAGAGATACAGATATAGACAGATAAATCTCACTGTTCAGCCTTCACTTGTACTAATCCCTCGGTTTAAGATTCCTTTTCTTTGATATTTTTCACTAAGCTGACTCAATTTCCAATAAGGCAAATAAGAATCATCTCTTTTAGGAAGCTTTCTTTTATCACCCCACCCCCCTCACTCCAGGTATTCCTCTTTTTATGATCCACTTGCACCCTTTGCTTACTGTAAAAATAGAATCCCACAATGTATTATAATTATAGATGCTTCCCTGAGCCTGTTGTCTACAACTGGTATTGATGAGTTCCCATTACGGATGGGACCAATTCGTGGATCTGGGGAGTATCTTTTATGGGAGCAGCTATTTGACAAAAGGCTGCTTTGGAATCCAGGCATCTAAACCAGTGTAGCTCTATTCTTGGACAAAACTCTGATAATGACCTCTATGAATACGTCTGCTGGGTTAGAACCATGCTTTCTGCTGGACTTCCTTTCTTTTTTTTTTTTTTAAAGATTTTTTTTATTTATTTATTTGAGACAGAGAGAATGACAGAGACAGAGAGCACATGAGAGGGGGGAGGGTCAGAGGGAGAAGCAGGCTCCCTGCCGAGCAGGGAGCCCGATGCGGGACTCGATCCAGGGACTCCAGGATCATGACCTGAGCTGAAGGCAGTCGCTTAACCAACTGAGCCACCCAGGCGCCCTGGACTTCCTTTCAAGTGAGTGTCCCAGCATGCCAGGTGAATGCCCAGAGAGGCTGGTAAGAAGGAAAAGTTGTTCCTCCCTCCAACCAAAGTCAAGAAGAAGGGAACACTGGTCAGTTTTAGAGCTATTTAAGATATAAACTTTTCTCCTACGTTTGGGAATTTTCACTCTATGATATTTAGTGGGAGGGAGATATAATTCTACTGTACAAGCTGCAAATGTCAGATATCTGCTTTCCAGGCACTTTTTTTTTTTTTTAAACATTCTTAGTTTATTAATCGTCTCATGAAAATCTGCTCTTCTGGTGAGTGACTGGGCTAAGCCAATCAGACACATCTGCCCGAGTTAACTCGCAGCGCAAAGAGGCCGGGGGAACAGGGAGTGGGGGCAAGGCAGAGTCAGCCACTCCAGATCCTGGGGCACCGCAGGAGGAATCCAAGAGGTAGCAGCTGTGTTGGGGAAGGCGACAGAGTTGGTAGCATAAGCAGTGGATTCTTCAGACACAGTGGAGGCAGCGTACTCACTGGCCTAGTGTTCAGCTGTGATTCTGGCCCATTTGCTGAGCCTGCCTCTCCATCCTTCCCCAGTTACTCTGTGAGCCACTAATCAGCCTTTCTACAGACTTCGTTTAAATCAACCAGGGTTAGGTTGTTTCTGCTTATAATTAGGAAACATGTCTGAAACCATCTACAATATGTCCAATGCTCTACTATATGCTTACCCCTATTCTATGCTTTATATGTATCTTCACTCACATCATCTGCATCAACCCCTGCAAGGTGGTTATTAAAATGCCCGTTTTACCGCTCCCCCCTCTTGTGCTCTCTCACTCTCTCTCAAATAAATAAATAAAATCTTTAAAAAAAAAGGGCGCCTGGGTGGCTCAGTTGGTTAAGCGACTGCCTTCGGCTCAGGTCATGATCCTGGAGTCCCGGGATCGAGTCCCGCATCGGGCTACCTGCTCAGCAGGGAGTCTGCTTCTCCCTCTCCCGCTCCCCCCTCTTGTGCTCTCTCACTCTCTCTCTCAAATAAATAAATAAAATCTTTAAAAAAAAAATAAAATGCCCGTTTTACAGAGAAGGTCCCTAAGATTCAGCTATGTAAATTGCCCAAGGTCACACACAAGGAAGAAGTAGAATTGGAATTTTAAAACTGCCCTGCCTCATCAAGGAGCCCCCACCTCTAATTTTTCAGTACATACCATATTGTCCAGGGTAGTGCTCGGCAGAGAGGGCACTGATGGATGGATGGGTCAAGGATGGATGAGTGGATGGGTGGAAGGGTGGGTGGGTAGTTGGGCAGATGGGTGGATGACTGGGTGGGTAGATAGTTGGGTGGATGGATGGATGAGTGAGTGGTGGGTAGTTGGATGGATGGGTGGATGGATGGATGGTTGGCCAAAAGTATGTTTACAAAAGCAAAATCAGCTGTAATCCTTTTTTATATTGTTTTGAAGAAAGTTATAAGGGATATAAGGAGAAGAGCTACGTGATCACTCCTGAGGAGTCTAGATCACATCCTGGAATTATTTTTTTCAATCATAATGTAAAAGGCTTTTGCTTTTCCACTCGAAATATAAAGGCAGGCAAGCCAATATAATTGCATTTCTCTGACATTCTTCTTGAGCCTCAATTTGGAAAGGAACTCTATGATGAATAATCACAGGTTAATGAATTAATCAACCAAATAAAGAAAGGCTTTGACATTCAGGCAGACAGAAGTCATGACACTCAGATGAGAGCAGCGAGGTGCACAGCCAGATCATGCAAGGAGCCAGGGTGGTGGTGGGGGGGGCGGCAGGGGAGGGTGCGTGGTTCTCACCTGACGTTCTCATAGCGGTGGATGTAGATCCGATGGAACTGGTGCTGCAAGTGCTCGTCTTCAACATTGGTCATGTCGTTGATCATTTCCAGGACGACAAAGCGGGGGAGCACAGATAGCACGAGCCGCTCCTGGAACAAAGCAATGGAGAGGGACAGGCTTGTTAGGCTGACCAGCAAGTCTGAGACCCTGTCTCCATCACTGATAGTCACGTAGTATTAGGTGAGCTTGGTCATGTCTGTGCCTTAGTTTCCTAATTTGGCAAATAGCAATAAAATCATCTACTTCCCAGACTTGTTGCGAGCATTCCATGAACTAAAACGTGCGATAGGCCTGGCATGAATTCCCTCCCTCCTCTCTGCTCTCCTTAACTCTGCTCCCATGCAAAGGGCTTTATCAGTGAAGTGCCCACGGAGCTTCATACGATGAGGCTTCTCCTCTCTTGAAAGCTGTCTCATCATGAGACTGAGAAGCGTGGTTCTTGAAAATGACCGTGCATCATGTCCATTTTGTCTTCATTAGCACTATTTGCCAGCTTCCTGGGTATCCGTAGCCCTGCTCATGCATCCATGCTGGATGGGAGTAGGTGCTAATCACGGCTTTGAGGGGCATTCATTTCCTGAAAATAGTAGAAGTTCAATAAATGCGCCCTAAACAAATGGTGAACACACAGATGGCAGAGACTTAAGCTTATGGTTCCTCCACGCCACTGGAACTTGGATCATGATTCATCCATTTATTCATTCAGTTACCATGTCAAAGAGAAGGTGCCATGTGACAGGTGCGGTGCTGGGTGTGGAGAATCAGCAGAAAACCAAAACAGGCACGGCACTCGCCTCTGAAGAGCCAGTGTTTTAGAGCTAACAAACAGATCCTGGAAGAGATGAAGAGGAGCTGGTGGCTACTTTAGCTGAACAGTCAGCTAAAGGACAGAATAGTGACTGAAGCAGGGAGCTAAAGGACAGAAGGAGCAGTCCTATAGAAAGCTAGAGAAGGTGCTGCAGGCACAGGGGGACAACTAGTACTGAGGCTATGGGATACAGTCTCTTTTGAAATTCACTCATTCATTCACTCCACACGTTTACTGAGATTCTCCTGTAGACAAGTATGTTAGCTGCTATGAATATAGGAGTGAACAAACAGATGTGATCCTGAATTCCCTGGGGGGCTTACAGGCTCCGTCTCAGAGATGACAGGCTCAAGAAGTGACAGTCATGGTAGCAGAGATGTCGGGCGAATGTGGCTGGCAGGAGCTTGACAAGCACTATGAAGGTAAGTCAGGGGTAAGCTCCTGCTAGCAGCATGAGCAGAGAACCCAGTCACTCGGGGCAGACTGCTCTATAAGCCACCGATGAGGTCCTGGGAGCCTTGCGAGAGCTGTAAAGGTAAAGGAGGAGAGGCTGGGCTTCTACTCAGTTTGGCATCAAGACTCAGAGCCAGGCACAGAGCAAGTGATGAGAACTCGGATCCGCAGAGCCTAAACATTTGTGCCAAGTCTCAGGAAGAAGGCATATGCTCAATCCTGGTCCAGGGGCTCGCCACCCAAGTGCTCTAAACCAGACAGTTATTCAGATGAGCCACGCCTTCCTCTGATCGTCCTGGACCTGCCCCGGGGAGGCCTTCTCTAACGGCTCTGCTGAAGTGAAACCCTCCATGAAGCCCCCCCTCCCCCGAATCCTATGCCATGTTGACCTGCCTGTTTCTGCCCTGATGGCAACCTCCACCAACTTCTGAACCAGTTCCTGGACTACTTGAATGCAGTAGCAGTTCTCCTGGCTGACCTCCACTTACCAACGCTCTGGATTACCTGACTCAGTGGGTCCACGTTTTCCAGTCCCTCCCTCACACCTGTCAGCTGGGCACTTACAGGGCTGAAGGTCCCCAGCTCATAAGGAGCTCTCTAAATGCCCACAGCTTCTATTCCATATTAGTCCCATGCAGGCCAGGAGCCTCTGGGCTTGTTCCCACATGCAATTATGTCGGTTTATCTGTGAGTGTGTTCACTCTATTTAATTAGGTATTAAATTAAAATTTTTAAACAAGTAGGAATGAGTGTTGCTGTTTGTATGAAAATGAAATTGAATGCTTCGGGAAGACTTGGAAATGCTGAGTAACCAAAACATCGTCACCAAATTAAGACATGGGCCAGGTGGCCATGAATGTTTGTGAGAAAAGTGATAAAAATTCAAAAGTCACTCTGATAATATTGCAAGAACTTTTAAATTCTTGCTCCATTTTAAGAAACTAGAAGTCTTGGCTGATGCACAATTAGCTATGGTCTCAATAAGAAACAATAGATCAAAGCTAAAAATAAATGCCTTGGCCTTATTTTAAAAGACCAGGTAATGAATGTATTATTTTATGTTTAAGTCATAAATAAAATGTTCAAGTATAATTTTTCAATAGTTCCTCATTTTAATCTACTGTTCCAATGAATCAAGCAACCATGCGCCCTGATTACTTCCACTAAAGTGGTTTTACAATTCCTGTTTGGATGTCTGTCACCCCCCCCCCCCCCCAGGCCACGAAGCCTTTGAGAGCCAAGGCGGTGTCCTGTCCACTTCCAGAACCCAACACAGGCTTTAGAAGGAAGGGGTAGCCATATTTATCTGGATTCCTCTGGTGACAGATCGATACCCAACTCTACAGAGTTTCAGAAAACTCAGGCTTTATCCTAAGGATACTGCGGTGTCTCATGGAAGCTAAGGGCAAAACTGAGAGGCTGGGTCTTGGGAACAAAAGGACCCAGTGAACCTTAATGACTATTGCCCTTGAACTTGGATTTCTACTTATCCTACAAATTAGCAAGAGGCTCTCTCACTTCTCCTTTACTGAGAGTTCTTATGCCTTCTATCTTTGTATGCCTTGTATCTTATGCCTTCTCTCTTTGGCCATTTTGAGAAGATTCTTGCTCAGTTCAAGACTCACCGTGTGTGCATAAGGAGTCTGCTTGGGTCAAACATTCAGTGCTGCCTAAGGCTCATGGTCAGGTGCAGGGGCACAATAAAGAGCGTGGTGATCACTGAAGTGACCATTAAGAGAGGGGCAGGTTGGATACAGAGGGGAGAGAGTAGGTCCCAACCAAGCGGGGACATGCAGAAAACAAAGATGCACAAAACAGTAGCCAGTGCACACTTGCAGAAGGAATAGATGAGTGAAAGACAAATAGCTGTCCCTGAAAAGGGTTCCGCTTTGACCACAGGGGTGGAGAGCAGGGAACCTGGAGGGAAGGTCAGTAAGCGGAAGCAGCAGTGTAGGCTGGTGGTCACGTGCACCGCCCCGGAGGTAGGCTCTGGCTTCGAAACCTAACTCGGCCCGTCCCTGACTCTGTGACTTGGGCCGCATCCTTTAGCTTCTCTGTACCAGTTTCTCCGTCTGTAACCCAGAGCTGATAATAACAGCACCTCTTTTTTTTTTTTAATTTTTAAAGATTTTTATTTATTTTTTGACAGAGAGAGAAAGACAGCGAGAGAGGGAATACAAGCAGGGGGAGTGGGAGAGGGAGAAGCAGGCCTCCCTGCTGAGCAGGGAGCCTGATGTGGGGCTCGATCCCAGGACCCAGGGATCATGACCCAAGCTGAAGGCAGACGCTAAACGACGGAGCCACCCAGGCGCCCCATAACAGCACCTCTTTGACAGGGCTGGAGGATGAAGTGAGTTAGTATTGGTAAAAGAATTAGATCTAGTGTCTAGCTTGCTGTAACCACAGCCCAAATGTTGATGAAATTCACTGGCAAGCATGCTCTATTTTAAGCATTGTTTTAGAACTCGAATTGTACTTGGGTGCAAATGCTTTAAGCTCTTGAAGTAGGAACGTTACACAGGAAGTATGGGGGGATGAATAGACAGAATATAAAAAGGCTATCGTACTACACAGTGAAAAGCTTCAGTCACACTTGTAAAAATGAAAATTCTTCCATTTTTATTACCAAAATCTTGATTCTGGCAGTTGAGTTTGTATCTGAAAGGGAATTTATGGAACTGTCACCCAGAACTGTTACTGTTTCTGAAAGCTAAGCGCGAGCCCAGCCATGCAAAAGGTGTTGTTGAGCTGGCTCTGAAAGCCATAGTCTGTATATGCTCTTTAGGCTGATTCAGTGAGGGGGCTGACAGTCCGGATACCATCCGTGTCAACTTGGTGGGGGTCTAAGACACCAGGAAATTTAGTTCTGCCCAGAAATGCAAAGACCAAAAGTTTTGGAGTCAGGCAATCTTAAGTTAAGTCCTGCCTGAGCTCAACAACTGGCTCGCCTTGTGACCATGATAACTTATATGACCCCTTTGTGGCTCAGTTTCTTCATCTACAGGATGGGAACAAATACTGCCTGCCTCCCAGGATTGTGGTTTACACTCAAGCCCTTTTTATAGATCCTGGCATACAGTAGGTGTCTATTAAATAGCAGTAGTCATCAAGGGCGTTTTAATTCATTCCAGTGGCCGGTTCACAGATCATAGCCAGCATTACTCTATAGTCTATAGTCCACAATATGGAACAGAACTTAAAGGATGAGTAATAAAATTCAGGTTTCAGGGACCTTTTTCTTATTTTTCTCTTTTTAAGGAGTTAGGATTTCCCCAGATCCCTTGATTTAGTAGTTGCCAAACAAAGCTCTTTCTTCATTCTTTGGTTTGCTTAAGCATTGCTGAATGCCTATTGTACACCGGGAGGCCCCAGCACATAAGGCCAATCAGGCCCTGCCTTCACGGATCCTGTAACTTTGCTGTGTGTCCCCAGGCAAGTGACTTAACATCTCCAAGCCTATCATCCTCATGTGCAAAATGATAACAGTAGCTCCCTTCTGCGGTTATCCTCAGAACCCCGTGAGATACATTTGATCAACATGCCCTGGGAGTCGGGGGGATGAAGTGGGGAGTGGTCCACCCCAGGTGCAGACAATAAGCGGGTCCCTGGTCTGTAGAGAACTTAAAACAATAGTAAGAGGACTAAGAGTTGCTTTGCTTTTTATCATTATCACCATTCACGGACTATTTGAAACAATGTCAGCGACAAAATACTCCCCTCCACTCCCAGGATAATGTTGATCGAATAAAAAGGAAGGCAGTTTTTTGCTCTGGTAATAAAATGATAAACCAAAGGCAATATGACACTAAAATCATGATGCTGAATTCT